ACCCCTGCCAGGGATGGGGCACCCACAGCTTCCCTGGGCAGCCTGGGCCACTGCCTCACCCCCCGCACAGGAAAACATTTCTTCCCCAGATCTCATTTCCATCTCTCCTCTTTCAGCTTAAACCCATTCCCCCTCGTCCTGTCCCTGCCCCCCAGAGCCCCCCCATCTCTCCTGTAGCCCCCTTTCAGCACTGGAAGGGGCTGGAAGGTCTCCCCGGAGCCTTCTCTTCTCCAGGCTGCACCCCCCCAACTCTCTCAGAACCCCTGGCTCCGTGGCCACCGAAAGCACCCTGCAGACACCCCGTCCTGCCCCACAGGGCTCATCACGCTGTATTTGTGGTCCAGAGACTCTGCTGGGGAGCACCGAGGACAGACTTTGGGTGCTCTCACCTGCGCTGGGCCTGGGGCAGCCAGATGGGGGCTGTGGTGAGGTGCAGCCCTGTCCCCATCTGCTCTCCTTGCTGGCAGGGTGACAGATACCCCAAAATTGCTGTGAGTCCTGTGAAGGTACCTGATAAATGCCAGAGATGGATGGACTGGGAGATAAACTCTGAGAGCAATTCTCCAGTTTGTGACACCTTGACAGCCAAACGCATTTAAAAAAAGTCGCATGGAGACCAGTGCGAGAAATAAAGATTTTGTAAATAAAACCGGCTCAGAATCCATCACAGCCTCCTGAATGATTCCTCAGAATAATCGGGAAGAGCAGCAGCACCAGCTCCTCGCTGGGTGGCTCCGCCAAGCCTCATCCATCCTGGCAGCTCCGGAGGACCTGCACAGCATTCCCTTCCTTCCCCGCTCCCGGGAGCCGCTGCTCCCAAATCTCCTCCCTGCAAACCTCACAGGCCTCACGCCCCACGTTCAAACTCCTCCGTCTGCATCCCGCTGCAGCGCACCCAGCAGGAAGATCTTTGGAATCAGCTTGTGAACCTTCACGCCTAAGGTAAAACGTTCCGAGGCCCAACTAAACTTGAGATCTTGCTGTTTTCAGTCCTTTCCCTGTTCTCCAGGTGAAATTCCTGGCTGGGACGAATGCCCTGACCAACACAGACAAACAGTCTCGCCCGCACACACCCCCAGCCCTGCCTCCTGCTCGGGGGTGTAACTCCGCTCTGTAGGGCTCGAGGTCTGAATTTTGCCTGCTCCAGCCCACGAAACCAAACCCAAGTGCTGCCCAACAAACATGAAGCCATGATTTCCCCCCGTCCTCCCCTGGGTGATCGCAGAGTTCTGTAGCCAGCTTTGCCATGCTGGGGCTGCTGGAACCCTGAGGGAACGCTCTTGCCCTGTGTCCGGCCCGCTGGCAGGCTCTGCCGTGGCTTTTAAGCACCGAAAAATCCTCCACTCTGCAGCAGATGCCCCGGTCTCTCCAAGGTTCTGGTCCCACGAAAGCTCCCTGCCTGAGCAGCTGGCTCCTGTGCTCCGTCGCTGCGGAAGCAGCTGCTGGGAAGGGGGAAAACAAATGAGCTTCCGCAGCGGTCCCACACAAGCTTCCACAGATCTCGCTGGGAATCATTCCGCCTGCAGAAGCCCAGCAGCAGCCAGCCTTTGAAATTGTATTTCAAACTTTGCCTTTCACCACCCTGAGAGTGATAACTGCAGAAGCTCCTCCGTCCCCGACAGCGAGGGCAGAAAGCTACCACGCATTTCAGGCAGCCAGAGCCCGCACCCCAGAGGCACCGGCTCCCCAGTTCTCCCAGCAATTCCCCCACTGCAGGGGAGGAACAGAATAAAAAAAAACTGCAAACGGAGGAGCATCAGATCCTCATGGAGATCGCCCCCTCCAAAGATGACAGCGAGCGCTTATTTCCATCTCTTTAAGAATTCAGGAGCGTGGATTATCTCAGCTGGGCTCTGACAACTCTGCGGCATCAGCGATCCACAGCGCTTGGCGCCGCACGAGGACGGAGGAATAACGCCCGAGCTCCGCTGCCTAACCTACTTCCATTGTCCCTAACGGCTCCAGCAGCAAACAAAGATTTTTTTTTTTTTAATTCAGCTGAAAACAGAGATGTTTTCTAATTAAATCCATCTTAGTCATTACAAAATAAAGTGGAGCTGCTTTATCGAAAACTGCTTCAGCTTGGCCATTTCCTCTTCACATTTCGAGACCCTAATTTGCAATTGAATTCAGGTGAACAGACCCCTGGACCCACTGGCAGCAATAAACGATTTCAGACGGGCTTTTACCGGCTTAAAAGCCTTTCTGCATAAATTTAAAAAAAAAAGGGGGGGGGGGGCTGTCTCTTTTATTCT